GTATTCTTTCTCGGCGAGGTTGCGTCGGGCGTTGACTGATCGAGGACTTTGCTTGACTGAAAGCGACGTGGAAAGTAACGTCGAGTAAATTGTGACGATGATTCTTTCCATCGATTACTTCGGCTTGATCGATGATGATCAATCTCGATCGATGATAATGATCGGTGTGTGCTCTAATTAATGACTAATTTCGCCAACCGACTCAACTATTCACGATTGCGCACTCGACGATTAATTCTGATTATCGATTTTCGCCAACCGAGACCTTTCGATGAGACAATCGATGATTGTCCAACTGTGTAAAGCAGATTGCACCGACAGGTGTGCACATTCTCGCTCTTTCCGAATGTCACGTTAACTTAAGTAAACTAGGAGCTCGCCACGTTAACGCAAATACGCGCGTGCGGGAGGTTAAATCTGTTTATAAATCTGTTGTCGCACGTGCTCGCGATGCTCCGTCACGCTTTCCACGCGCCTATCACACGATTCTGGAATTCTGCAATTGGTGAATTTCGCCGGGGGATTCAGCGAGGCCGGCAACTCGCGCGCTACGTTTGTTGAGTCGAGGCGTCAGCGACGTTCATAGCGTATGACATCACGAGCAAGGAGAATGAAATAATTTATCAGCGAGTTATGCACGAGACGGACGTTGTACGCCGAGCGTATCGCATCATCGCGAGCGCGACATATTTTTCAAGAGAGCGAGAGCGAGAGAGGAAGCAGGGAGGGGGGAGGAGCAAAAGCAACGAGTATAGTATTCCACGCGAGAGTACTCGTGGTAATTAGTGTGAGAGAGCGTCTCTCGACTTGATTTTGGTCACATACACATACACACACGCACGTGCAAATCCACACACACACAACGTTGCATACGTCGCCTGAAAGGTTCGCGAGGACTCTTATTTTTTTTTCCCGTCGCCAACTCATTTCACCTACGCCAGCGGAATGTATTCGATTCGATGCAAATAAATTCACCGCGCCGCGAACGGCCCGCCCGCCCATCCCGACGGACTTACTTAGTTGTCGCTCGGACTTGTGCAGCATAAAACGCAGCCTTGAACGTAGCGGCGAAAATGTCGCAAACTCGCTCTCGCGAGCACGAAGCAGCAGCAGCAGCAGCAGCAGCAGCAGCAGCAGCAGCAGCAGCAGACCGCCGCGGACGCTCGACGGAAAGTGCGAGTGAGACGAGCCGGTGCCGCGGGTCGAGAATCGGCGGAATGCCGCGGGCATGGCAGAGAAAAGAAGAAAAAGAGAGAAAATCGCGACTTAGAGCGCGGAGATAAAATAACCGGCCGATTCGCGCACTTTCTCGATCAGCGTCGCAACCGGTTTCCTCTTCTTATGTCATTCCTGCGACCAGGCGCTCTCTCACCTTGTCCGAAGAACTCCCTCGTCGTAGCCTACTTTTTCCCTCACCCCCCTCTCCTAGCCCCCCTATTCGCTGTATATCCTCCCCGCCGGCTGTGCTAAAAAGGTAGCCAAGGTGAGAAAAGGCAGCCCTCTGGCTGGCCGACTGAACCGGCGACTCCTCGCCGGTCGCTTCAACGACTGAGAGCGCGCCAGGGGTTTCCCGGGGCATCTTATCTTCACTCAACGGCCGATTCTTCTTTATCTTCGGCGGAATATGCGTTACTACGACGTATACTGCCGAGCGCGTACATGCGGTCTCAACGACAGCCGACCGTACCGTACCGTACCTTAGTCGACATAAACGGTCCGGACGAGGCTGCGTGATCATCAGCGGGGCAGGTTGACATTCTTCGGCTGACGACTTTTTATCGCGCGTCTAGCCGACGGACGCGAGTGGACTTGGACGGCGTTTCTCCTCGTCGTCTATCCCTCTCCCTTTTTCTCTCTCCTGAATCCCGCTCGTCAGGATCTCCGCTGCCGTGAGCACGGTACGCGCGTCCGCTCAATCTATCTCCGTCTCGGCCTACTCGACCACGCTCTGCACCACGCTTCGCAGCAGCAGCAACCTACACGTTCCTGGAGTAACCGTGACCTTTGAGCCGCAACAATCGGTCGCGGGTCTCAACGGCCTCTTCGCATGCCTATTAACGCGCGACAATCGACGGCGCGATCGAGGTATTCGCACCCGTTTCACGCGTCCCACCCCTCCTCCCCAATCCCGATCGAGCAGGTGCTCGGCTCTGCAAATAGAGAGCCGACGCGGCGCGGCGGAGAGGAAAACGCGAGAGACGTCGCCGCCGTTGTGCCGCTGGCGCTTTGACGTCTCGCGAGGATGCGCGCTGAGGAGATGCGAAGGAATCGATGTTGCTGCTGCAATCGCTGCGGCACGTTTGCGCGTCTCGCACCCGGCGAGACGTATCGCGCGAAATGCAGCCGAGCTACTGCGGCTTTCAAAACTGCCTGAACCCCCGTCATCTCGTCGCGTGAGGCTCCGATAGTCCGATAGTGAGGAACTAGTTTCTAGACAATTCGCAGAAGCTAAGTTACCTCATTGGACATCTGTTGCGTTCCGAACCGGCGGGGGAGAGAAGAGAAAAAGGAACAATGTGTTCGATGCAATGTCTGAAGATCCAGCGCACGGCAATTCGCGAAACGAGCGTCGAATGGCGGCTCAAGGGCGGAATTACATGCGGAGCAGATCGTTTTTAAGGCTATTTTTACGAATTTTTTTAATAGAAACGGTCATTGGACTTGAAATTTGCACAGTGTATTCATTAATGTTCAAAGTATAAAATATAAAATTTGTTGCTATCTGTATGGAAAGTACACACAAAACTTTAAACTGTCGACACGATTACGCAACAACTACTGAACCGAAATACTGAACTTGAAATTTTTACACAATATACAGTAGGCATGTAGTTTTTGTGTCCCTACCTCGAACACAGTTATATTTTATTTTATTCATTTTTTTAAACACGATTACAAGTTGAAGAAAGTTTCATTTTCTATATTTTTTTTATATAGTCATTATTTTTCCACACTTGGCTTCACTGCCTTCATTTTGGCACGGGCCATAACAGCAACTGTATATTTTAAAAATCTTTCTCATTTTTTTGGTTTTTTTTCAGAGTAGTGAGAGGCCCGGAATTATGTCGATAGCAAACATAAAGCTCGCAAACGAACGACTGCATTTTTACCTATTATAATTACAAATTGGATCGGGATTCTTGTGATTCAATAAAATTTATTTTATACTTTGAACATTAATGAACACACTGTGAAAAATTCAAGTCCATTGATCCTACCGTTTCTGTTAAAAAAATTCGCAAAGCTAGGCTTGAAAACGGCCCTCCGCATGTAATTCCTCCCTTAAAACCGCGAGCGTGGACGAACCCTCGCGCTTCACCCACGCGATCGAGAGAATTGCGAGCGAACATCGCGCGGAGAAACAGCCGGACGCGAGGTCGCGTATGGCAATTAGATACTATGCATACGTGCGAGGCCTATTATTTGCGATAATGCGAGTCCTCTCCTTACTCCGTCGCCGTTGCCGAAACGCGGGTTCGTGACGGCGAACTCGCGCGCGATTGATCGCGTGTGCCGTGTATTGTGAATTTTTCAATATGTAATCGCACACAATTGCAACCGCCCCACAGCTTGTAATAAGCACGGTGGGATATTCCCGTGAAGTATTCGGCCATTCGCGCGGCTGCGGCGCGAGGTCTGCCTGAACGCAACAAGGATCGAAACGACTCATTCTGACGTCGACTCATTGTTATGCGTTATATTATCGCTTAAAAAAGAAAGAGGAAAATTCTTCGCTCGTATGGCGCGTAAGCTCTGCGCACACAAATATTACGTAACATTTCAAAATAGCGAAAGATAGAAAAAATGGCAAAAACTAGTAGAGTAAATAATAGTAACTGTTGTAAAATAACTAATTGCGAAATAACGCGGTATCTTTCCCCAGGCGACATTAAAGCGCCAAGAACGATCTCGACGGTCAGGAGGAATTTGTCCTCGCCGGGGACAAAGAGAAGATTTGCTGAATTTCGTTGTTTATACCAGCTGCGACTACTTGCATTCGCGCGTAATCTATATTTAGACGCGAGAAATGTAGCGAATGCAACTTAGAGGAAATAATTTAGCGCGATAGTCAGCGCGCGACAATGTCTCGCTCGGTACCAGCCAGTTTTGATTACGCAATTTTCTCTCTCCGTTTACAACAACATGGATAAGGCCGGGAGAAAAGGAGGAAAGAGAGAGACTAAATCGCTAAATCGGGCTTGCTCGATTCAGTCACCAGTGAAACCGGTTTTTAGCGCTTCAACGTCGTGTCTTCCATAATATTATCTTGTTGCTCGGCTTAAAAAGCCCTTCGTGCACGCACGAAAGCTGAGTAGTTTAAAAACCAGAAATAAAAAACAGAAAAAAGAAAGAAGGAGGAAAGAGACGAATGGGGGTACAAGTCATTATTCTCGCTTAACGGAAACGGAAGGATTCCTCGCACCCTCGCGAGATCCTGCAATTTATAAACGGAACATTCCAACGCGCGAAATACTTGTTACACTTTGTGCATGAATTTATTCACGAGCAAAAGCAAACGTTATATGCACGAAAGTCGCGGCGTGCGTCGTCAAATCGTCGCGAAAACGCGAGAAGCGCATCCCGCGTGCAGTGTTGAGTGCATCGATTGGAATTTCACCAACCGATCAAATTATTCACAACCACAAATATATGGCAATTAATTGTAATTATTAATTTGCCGATTGTTTTAGTCAGCTAACATTTCAATCGGTTAATCCTCCGATGTCTGATAAGTACAGTTTCATGTTCCAAATTTTAAAAATCTTCGCGACATTTGGAGTCGAAAACATATAAATTAAATATATATATATATATATAGACATATAAACATTTTATGATAAGATTTACGAGGAAGATTTACATATTTCTGAGACACGTTGTGAGACGAGAGAGATATGCCGATTAAAGAGAGAGTTAATATCCAACACTCTCTCTGGCCGAAGGGGTCGCCGAGCGGTCGGTTTTGCAAAAAATCAAATGTCAACATGTCAAACACTCACCTGCTTGCCGGCGCGTGGCAGCGTCTCCACGTTGGTGCCGCCGACGACGGGCGCCTTTTCCGGGCCGCCGTTCTGCTGGCTGACGTTCACGTTGTTGGCGTTGTCGCTGACGTTCACGTTCGTCCCGGTACCGCCGCCGCCGCCGCCGCCGGCGCCGCCGCACTTCCCGTCCTCGCCCGTCATCCTCGCCCCGTCTTCGACTGCTCCGTCGATTCACCACCACCCTCTCGTCTCTCACTCACCCTCTCTGCCTTCTCGCCTCGTTCTCGTCTTCCCCACGCTCCGATACTCTTCCGCTCGTTAATTCCCAAGCTTCTCGGTCCAGGGCTCGGGATCCCGGTATCTGCGCGGGTGTCGAACCGATCAGAGGAGAGACGACGAGCGCGCGCATCACGCGTTCCGTGCGACCCGATAAAATAGATTCTACATTGTCTCGCGAGTATCCTGCTTTCTCCCTTTCCATCTCTCTTTCTCCCCCCCCTCTCTCTCCCTCCCTCCCTTTCTCGCGCAGAAGGCAGAACTTTGTTGTCCGAGAAAACGCCGCTTTTAATCGGGCTTGAATTGTTAATCCGAAGTTCAACATATAAGTCGCTAACGCGAAGTTTGATATCTGGATTGTTAACACCGAGTTTAATGTTTGAATTGAATCAACGCAACGAGAGATCTCGGGCTCTCGTTAACGTAAGTGAGTGTTACACGGAGGCACTCGGAAATGCAAGGTCCGTAGTAGCTCGCGCTCGGGTCGTCCTACCTGAGCGAGAGAAAGAGAGAGAGAGAGATAGAGAAAGAAAGAGAGAGAGAGAGAGAGAGAGAGAGAGAGAAAAAGACGCGACTTTGAAAAGACCGACGCGACCGCGAACTCGACACGCTTCTCGAGTCTCTCTCGCGAATTTCACGTCCACGGCTCGCCGTACCGTCACGACGGCGACGAGCCACCGGGTGTATCGAGAGCGCGCGCGACTGCGGAGATCCATCGTGTGGCCGAATTGCTCCGGTTGTTCCTCGAGGAACGCTATTTTTAGCGGCCGTCGAAACGATACGGGCGTTATAACCGTACATGACGAAACAGCCCGAGAAGAGCACATTGTAAGCACCGCACCGCGCCTTCTCTCTCCCCCTCCCCCCTCTCGCGTTTCTCTCGAGACTCGTTTTTCACTACAGAGCCAGATCGCCAGCGAAAGCTCGACTAGGAGTCTCGCGACATGGAGTCTATACGATTCTCCGACACCGCCAGGCAACACGAACGTCCTCCGACAACTCGGAGGTCTCCAGGTCGTCATCTCCTGGAAGACAACGTCCCGACGACTCGTGGCTCGGGCGTTCGCATTGCCTGGAGCACGGCTCTCCTTCGTGGAGCACTGCGCAGAACGATTCCACAAACTCCGCGAACATGACACCGGCGAAGATGCGAAGAGCTTTCTGCACTTTTGGGCGGGAACGCGCGGAATATTCCTCGGTGAAGCGTCGAGAGAACCGGGAGGGACGACGAGCGCGCGATCGCGCGTGTCGCGGATATTCACCGGTGGCGAGGAATTAACGGGCGTCCACTCGGCGAGCAGCGACTAGTCGAGAAAATGCGCACACGTACACGTACGTTGGCGTAAGCTCGCTCGACGCTCGACGGCAGAACCACCGGGAAAATCGATTCGAGCGTGCCCGTTCGAGCACTGCGCGCCTCTCAAGCCGCGGCGATAAAAACGGCCGCGCGCCGATCCCGTCCCGGCTCTCTCCCGACGTTCGCGGCCGGAACACTCGGTGATGTCTCTCGTTAACTCGATCCTGCCCCGCGGAGAGGCGGAATCGTTTCCGGAATTCGGCACCAGTGCGCGCGCCTTTTCCCCCTGTTTTGCTTTTTGTCGTCGTCCTCCTTCTCCTCCTCGTCCTCGTCGTCATTGAGTCGCCGTGTCGTCGTTGTATTGTCGCGAGTGTATACCCGTCGCCAATGTGTGTACACAGACTGTACGTGGCGATTTAAATCAGAAAAAAATGGATGGAGAGAGATGGGATAAATAGTTACAGAGAGATAGATAGATAGATAGATAGATAGATAGATAGAGAGAGAGAGAGAGAGAGAGAGAGGGAGAGAGGGAGAGAGAGAGAGAGAGAGAGAGAGGAGAGAGAGAGAGAGAGAGAGAGAGAGAGAGAGAGAGAGAGAGAGAGAGAGAGAGAGAGAGAGAGCGTGTATGTGTTATGTGTGTTTTGATGTTTTTATTCTGGTTAGCGGCTATTCAAGAGCCATTTAACGGCCGTTTAAAAGCGGAAAATCAATAAAGTCGCGAATCTTGGAATCGGACGATACCTGCGAGGTTATCGCGTTTCACGAACGGGAACGAGCAGCGGGCTTGACAGGATACGGGTGTTCCGACGCAGGCACACGGTTGGGCTTCGGGTTCAAATATCACTGAACGATACTGAGCGACGGCGAATCGCACCTCGTCCCGAGTATCTCCTTTCGTATTCCGAGAAGTACGAAGTTGACGTGCGCGTATCGAGTTTTCGTCTTCCACGTAGCGCGAGATCATGGTCGTCCCGTTACACCGAGTTACGTCCGAATCGAACGCGCTAACCGTCATTTTTGCGCCTTACGTCATGGCGTCGCGTCAATTTTACAAAATGGTTAATGCCGAGCACGGGTCGATACTCAGCGCGGTATAAACATCCCTACCTTGCGAACGACACAGCGCGTGCTGAATCAATCGCTCGACGATAATCCTCCGCGGACATGCTCGTCGGCGATCGACCGGATCGGATCGCTTGTTGACGAAATAAAAAGGTGAGCGAGATCGAAGGATGCATGAAACGGTAGTACATCCCGCTTCCGCGATTACTAAACCGGGATTTCGTCGTTCGTTATACGCGCACGCACAGGTTATATATATATATATATACACATTATATATACATGTATATGCATACGTATGTATATTAACGTCGACGGCGCCGGGTCTGGCTCCTCGGCACGGTATATTTCTCGCGCGATCGATCTCTCGAACCCTTTTTCCCGCACTTCGGCCGAGTTTGTGCCGCGGTTCGGTGACGCCGCGCGGCGCCTCGAATCCGCACGATTATCGAACGATACGTCGAAACGCTCACCCTGATACGGTAGGACGAAAAAGAACGGGGGCGGACGGACGAGAGAGCGAGCGAACGAACAAACATATCAACGTACGTACGTACGTACCTGCGAGCAAGCGAGCAAAAGCGCGCGCGCGCGCGCGAGAGAGAGAGAGAAATACAGGCAGAAGAGATAGAAAAATAAAAGGACGCTCCTACTAGCAGAGAAAAGAGGTCGTCTCGTACGCAGGGTTGCACCGGGGATGGCGGGGGTACCTTCAAAGTCCACAAGCGTCAAGCACCGCGGTATTCGAACGAGACACTGTTCCCATCCGAGAGCGCTTCCTCTTCACTTGTCAAATCACACAGCGACGCGCCGTCATTTTCCCGTTGCGTTCTCTCACCGCGGCGTTTCCCCTCGCATCGACCGGTCGCCGCGCACACACGTACGAATGTGGTGAATCCGGACTCTCTGCGAATCGCCCGACGAGGAAAGCGTAACACAACCGCCCTCCCTGATACTTCGCGCAGCTTTGATCGTCGCCTCGTCCTGCCACCGACCGATGGCGACGCCGCACCCGACGCGACATCTACCGGCCGCGTCAAGTACCAGCCGCAATTAAGTCCTCGCGAGGCACGCGCACGCGCGCGCGCCAAGTTTGAAAGAAGAGAAACGACACGGTCGAGAGTGTTGCTCCGTAATTTATTGTGCGAGAATTTGTAACTGTAAATGTCATATCGCGCGTAAAAATTTCAAGTTTAGCATGTGTAATTTTAATATTTTTTATATATTAATTTATATATACATATTGTAATGTAATTTTCTTTATAAATTTAAACACTTGGGCTTGAGAGTATTTGTCTCGGAACGTCGAATAAAGCAGGAATAACAGGAATAACATCTGGATTGGAAAATTTAAATTTTAATTTTTACGCACTTTAATTTTTACAAAATTCTACACTTCAATGTGAATTGCTACCAGATACTCTTATTTGGACGAGAAAGGAAAAATGTCGCGCTAATCATATAACCTTAATTAACCATGTGGCTCTTTGTAATTCTGTACCTACCGTGAATTTGATGGTTGAATGAAAAATAAAAAAGTCGAATTGCTTCTCGAATCAGAGAGCTTGTTACAAATGCGTAAACGAACTTTATTTATATAGTTGCTATTTTGTTTTTACATTAACATAGGGCGATATCAGCTATACTGCATTTCGAGTCATATAAAAACAAAAACCTATCAGCAACTTAATGAAGTAAAACGTATAATTATATCTTACGCTAAACTAATTAGTACATTACGTCTCAGAGACAAACGTCCACAAGATAAAAATCAAATTCGATAAATACATATTGCTACGATGAAAGTAATCAATTAATTGACTCTGCATAAATATTGTTTAATTATTTTCATCGTAATATATATATACATAAATATAATAAACATGAAATAATAGTTAACACCGTCATTATTAGGGGACGCATGTGTAATGTAAGGAAATTAATATTGTTATGTATCACACGTGACAACAAAGTATTAACTTTAACATTACGATATTTAAATAATAGCACGCATTAAACATGCATTTCATATACATAATTCGGCACAATGTGTCTTAACATACCAAGTTACATCTTTCTAAAACACTATGCGTTAGCATTATAATGTATCTCTTACAAGACACTCTGAAATGATAATAACTTCATATATTAAGACTATCACACCAATTTGTATACACTTGATTTCAAGTGGTTTGTGACGCTTTTTTCATTGATGCAGGTCCGAATATATGTCCAATGTCGTAATAGAGACATTTAACTCCTAGTGATTATACTAAAACAAATTCTGCTACTGAACATTGTCGTGTTAAAAGCTGCATCAACAATAGGAAAAAAAAGTGTTCATATCGTATTAGAATCAAGTGTACATTGCGATTATGCGACTTTGGCTTGTTACAATTTTTATGTAAATATAATAGATTCAAAGATAAACAATATCGACACAGATGACATGCTCGTAAATATACTTTCCTGCAATCCAAGAGTATTAGACGATTATTGTGGATGTAATATGGTAGAAATATTCTCTTATCGTCGTTCGTCGTCGCTGGATTGCAATAGGAGTAGAAAATATTAATTTAAGACTAATGCGCATTGTCACAATGTAGATATTAATAACGCGAGATTGTTACGCGATAAAAGAGAAAGGTGTCTTACGGTGTAATCTACTTGATGGCAGTAGCTTGTAAATCATATACCTGCATTTCATAAAAGATAGATAGGAAACAGAATCATTATACAGAGGTATGAAAAGAAATCAATGGTAAAATTAAAACGTCTATTGTAAAATTAGGTTTCGTGAAGTTAACAAAGTATCAATACTCGTAGGTTTACAATGTGGACAATCCGTATAACAAGCAAGCGCCCATACCGATGCTTGTAAAAATATATAATGCATTTCACGTATAAGGATAAAAAGAAATGTTTCTGTCACTTCTGCGACAGCGAACAGTGTTCTACGCGTCGATATTATGTGAGGAACAATTCGCGATGGGTTCCATCCAGACGTTTGGCCCGAGCAGTTTAATTTTGTGTCTTAATGTGACCGTATGACGATTTACCCTCTCCTGAAATATACTCGCTATTGTTAACAATACTCTTCACAACTCTCCGTATTTTCCTTTTTTATTCTCTTCACATTACCGCATTTGCCTATCTTCCTGTGCTGCTCGAGTTGCCTCTTAGTCAAGAAACGCGTGTTGCAGTCGTTACACTTCAATTTGGAAAACGCGCCGCCATGATATATCAAGGTGTGATATTCTGTGCCTGCTTTGTCGTTAAACTCTTTCTTACAAAAGTAACACTTGTTACTGTCGTGCGAATGCATGTGACTCCGGAAGGACTTTAGTTTGATCGATTTCAAGCATAAATTACAAAATACCATGGTGTCTACGCCTTTCTTATGTATCGTCGAGTTGTGATATATAAGATTCCTTTTACTCGAGTAGGCTTTCTTGCACTTGTGGCAGGGATAGCCGAAACCCAGATGATAAGCCTCATGTAGGTTTATTATCCACAAAGGAATATCCATGTGGCAAAATCTGCAGGACGTGTCGTGCTGCGTGTTGGTGTGCTTGTTTCGTATTTTCTTGTCCGGGAATTTCTCGGGGCACAAGTAACAGTGGAACGCGCGGTCGTAGTGCACGGTTTTCATGTGCTCGTCAAACTGGCTGCAGCTGTTCAATGTGGCGCCACAGCAGAAGCACAGCAAATTCAGCGAATAATCATCGTATGTCTTACCCTCCTCAACAGTGCACCGGTGCTTGTTGTACAAACTAATCGTGCCGAAACGTTTGTTACAATACGAACACGTCGTAAGGTCGAATACCGCTGCAGAAGGCTCCAATCCGTCTTGCTGTTTTTCTTCAGTTTCAGTCTTTTCGCAGCTTTTACTCACAGATTGTACGTTTCTCCTTTTTCTCGGGCACGCCGTATCATCAGACTCTTGCAACGTTGAGATCTTCTTGATGACCTCTTGACACATTTGCTTCAAACTGCGAATATTTTCTACTGTATTATCTTCTTTCGCAACTCCCTCGTCAACGTCCTGTTGTTCCGTTTTTAAGCTTATCCCGTTTTCTTGAGTATCATTTTCTTGAGTAACCGTTTGCTTTCTTTTCTTATTAGATTGTTGGCTATCTTCTTCGATATCGATGATCAGATCTTCGTCCGCATCTCGTATCTTCAAAACACTGTGAGTTTTGCTGTACTTCGATGTCTCACTTTTATCCAGCTGTTGCACAGTATCTGCAGTAGCAGCGTTTTCGACAACATTGTGAGACACTCCATTGGATAATGGAGTATCATCATCTCTGACATTAATCTGTTTGTCTTCCTCGCCATCCTTACCGACTATTTCATAAGAGTTGTTTCGCTTCTTGATCGTGATATTGATACCAATTCCCGAGTCTCTGTCGCTGCTGTATCCGTCTCTTGTATTGTGCTGTGTCCTCTTTTCTTCCTGCTTATGGATTTTACAATTGTCCTTATGCATACGCAAGATACTAAGATTTCGAAACGATCTTCCGCACGAGCAAGTAGTATCTTCCTTGTTCGCATCGGCTGTTCGAGAAATCCTAGAAGTCCTCTGATTTGGGCTCGACGTTTTCGAATCGTTCGATTGTACATTTCGACTATCGCTCGACAAGCCATTGTTAACATTTCCCGGAACGGTATTAGTTGACTTTGTAACACCCATTAGTTGCTGGTACCTTTTGCTCAACGGCGAATTGAAATAGTTGCATTTGAATTTGTGAAAGTTCTCTTTAGTTTCTCCACGTGAGGCGTGAATGCGTCTATGTTTATTGAAAGTATGGGTGCTTGAATATACTCCCAGGCAAATATCACATTTGTACTTTTTCTGCATATGTTCCTCTATATCCTGAGGAGAAGCATAACGCCCATTACTCAATCTGAATCTTTTCTTCGCAGTCGCATAAGGTGATGTGTATTTTCGCTTTTGCGGTACTTGAGAAGATTCATGGATTTTGTCTTTATTCCGCACCATGTGATATTTATTTTGCATACCTTTAGTGATAGATGTCTCTGAAGGTTTACCAGATAATATGTCTTTTAACATGGGTTTCTTGCTACCAGATAATATGTCTTTTAACATAGGTTTCTTGCTACCAGATAAGATCTCTTTTAACATGGATTTCTTGCTATCAGATGATACTGTAGCCTCCACCACTAGCGATGTTTCTAGCTGTTTTAACATATTCGCAGAACATCCAATTTTATGATAATTGATCAAATGTTTCTTCACGCATTTTACTTTTTGTTGACACAATACACATCTGTTATATTGTGATTTTATAGAAATTACTGGTTTAGTTTTAGTTTTCTCAGATTGAACATTAATAGAATCAACATTGGATACATTCTCTGACCTCTTTAAATGAGTCAAAATCGATGGAAATTTCATAGCTTTAGTTTTTCCAGTTGTCATCTTTCTATGCGAATATTTATTGTTATAGCATTTGTCAGAATTACTATTTCCCTTATTATGTAAAGTATTCGAATCCTGTATATCAGTTATATCTGGTTTTCTGGGACGCCTATGTTTTACTGGAATGATAATTCCATGTATGTTTAATGCATGTTTTCTTAAAGATCTCTTTTCCAAGTATTGTTTGCCACATACAATACAAGGAAACAACTTTCTTGTCCTTTGGACTGAAAACTGAAAAGGTGTTTTACTATCATTTGTCAATTTACGTAGACTCTTGATGGGCAATGTCTTCAACGGCTTTGATGGGCAAATCTGTTCAGTCTTTTTAAAAAATGATTCTATTTTCCTATCTTCATGTCTATTCTCTCCTTTTCCTTTCTCTTCTTCATCTTTATCTTCATCTTCACTTGCTGTTAATTCTGTATCCTGTGTCCTTATTAGTTGTAACGTTTCCCAAATCTTATCGCATCTTTCCAGCAAAACAATTGGATTTTTTATTGTAGGCATTGGAATGTGCGACATATCCTCAAGATTTGTTGGTGTTGTATCCTATAATAAAAAATATATAAAACGTTACCTTCACGTATCTGTCCTCTTGAAAATAAAACAAATAATGTATCCCAAAAAGAAAGCAGATGCATCATGCAAAATACACATGCAAAACGTTACACAAAATATTCCATGAAATACTATTAGAAGAGAAAACAAGCGCTGCCGGAAGTCTTAACTAACCACAAGTTAAAATTAATAATAATCACAATAAGTCCGTCGTTTATTCAACGCGATGAAAAAGTCAGGTTATATAATATTACGTTTTACAACCGAACAGCACAACACAATCAGTGGCGTTCATGGTGGAGTAACGCGATACGGAAAAAGCGCGGCAATATTTGGCCACTGACTGGAGACGACTCTCATGGAGTGCTGCTTAGGAACATTTTTCCCGAGTGCGAACTCCTCGGAACATTGATCGCGCCGTAACTGCTAGTCCCCGGTACTCCATGAGCGACACTACTAACGAACTCACGAAAATCCGATCAACTTACAAACTCTGACAAGCCCTCGCCGGCCGAGTCGGGCTCCGTTTTGCACTCGAACTCAAAGTCGGTGAGCCGAAAGGGTGATAACGGTAACGCCGTATAACCATCATGATCACCGTTCCTGAATTCGCCACGATGTTCGATCGTCTCCTTCTTGTTGGGCATTTCCGAACGAAGCACAACCTGAGGAAGACAGCGTGAATTTGAATGTCTCGTCAGTACGTTGGCAATAATACGTCCACCAGAACGTGGCCATTCCCAGACTGCCGAACGAGACCCAGCGCCTTGGCTGCTTTTTAGACCTGATACGTCCCTTTCTCTGCAGCTCTACACAGTCCCAACATCATGTGTGTCTCTCTCCATTACGCTCTCCGGCCTCTCCTTCTCGCCTCTGTTCTTCTCTTTCCATCGCACCACGAACCCTATAGCGTTCTCTCCTACCAGTCTACTCTCGCCCTCATTGGACGGACGCAGAACCATCTGTATGTGTGTCGCTTCTTCAACCGACCTCCCGTTGGACTAGCAACAGTGCTGGATACGATAAGATGTCGGGACAGGACATACATGAAATGGGCTTTCACTTTGATCGTATTTCGTGTCAAGTAAGATACATAGACATGTAGACAATAGACGTGCATAAAGATGCAACGATCGTACAACTGCGAGAAGACCACTAAAAAGCCAATGGTCTTTAATGGATTAGTTCAGTTTTGTCCTCTATGAGAGAAATGATTTACGCTCTAATCCGACAGGCCGTCACAGTGGCTAATTTATCGAGGATTTTTCTAATTAAGTGAATGATAAGTTGAGAAATTGACCGATTGCACGTGTGGCAAACAGAAAGCAGAATACGATCGTGTGAATTGGTCCAACAAAGGTACTGGGTCTACGGCGAAAAATGATGGATTGAGAATATTGTGGGATTACGATGAGATCGACCAAGGCAGAAAGAAGCCCTTGAAAACCTCGTAAACATTTTCTCGCGTACACTTGACACATTTTATGAGCTAAATGAAATTGTATCAGGGAAACGCATGAACAAGATTACATCGCGGGTCTTATGGGGGTGTATGCGGCATCTCTGTGTTTCCGCTATGAACTACACGATCGAACAATAATCTCATTTAACGCAATAGCGTTAAATGCGTTTTGTATCACGCCCTATCTACCACGCTCAGAGCTTTCTGCTACAGGTTTCTGCTGAACCTTTTGGCTTTTTGTTGGAGCGGAGAAAAGCTCAGCCTACCCGCTATACGTAAACGATCAATCGCTCAAAGTTCATCGTTCTCTTTGGTCCATCATTGAAATTGTACGGCCGATCGGCACATCTTGATTCCTGAGTCCTGAGTTCCCATCAGCTAGGACTCCACAGTTAAGCTCTGACGCCGTGAACATCGATCTGAGGGAGGATACCTCGCGCACAGAGATGCAGTTAACGTAGGTAATCGAGTAAGGCTCGACAGAAACATGTGATCCAATTTCACAAACATGACTCTTTGTACGTCCAGGTGCTGAGGCATCTCCCCACAGTATCTTAACACAGTTTTTGGAAACCATTCGGTGGCAATCGGTCCCAAATGACTTGGACCGTTCATCAAAAGAACAGCCGAATTTTCCCATTAATCTGAACTTAATAGTTGCTCGAGTCGTAAAATGACTCCTCGTCTAGAACTTATTCATGTTCAAAGACCATGTGCAACCATGTGCACTTTATGCATGATGATGAGTTTAATATTTTACGGCAATAACGATGGAATGAAAAACGAGCAAATGTTGGTCGAGCCTTCTTTTTGACGGTCTTTCTGAGCTATCGCAATGTGATTAAACGCCTTCAGCGTATGAAGAGGTGGTCTAATGGTCTCAGCTAGTTCACTGGTCATTTAGTAATCGTGACTATTACATAATATTGCAACCATCCAAGTCGCTATCATCAGAGTAACATATACCTCGTTTGATACGACCACGAACTTAATGACTAACTTATATAAATAAATGAACCGAGTCGATTTCGAAATGGGAAATGATATCACACGAACAATTTAATAATAATATTTGTGAAATGGAAGACTTATTCGATCGGAAAACATCCTTCTCGAAGCATAACTGAGTCCAGTTTTACAATGTTCCCTTCGTTCTTCTTAGCCATAATAACAACATATGTTTCTTCCTGAATGCTTGAGACAATGAAAAAGCGGTCGAACATTTTAATGACATTGGGAGACCTTCGAAGTCAAGGGTCTTCAAGTATATTGTTCCGCCACTGCGCACTAAACCACGTGACCAAACGATGCAGTCTCGACAATAATGGACTCGTCCATACTCGGAACATAGAAGTTTCTCGAAGGATTTCACTTTCTCATTTTTTTCGTCCGTAATCCCTGCGCACATGTTACGTAAATTGGTGAGAAATCCCCCTCCCGCTCACTACGCATTTCTTAAATCGTACTAATGCATCTAATGTATGTCCCATGTGTGTCCCCATGACACCGTGGTTGCCTACGACGTTAGAGACTTCTATATTACGCACGATATCCGTATAAACCACGTCTCATGCGGTCTGACTTTCTCTTGATCGAGAAGCTCTCAAATCTTATTGCTAGAATACTTACTTGAAACATCGAGGGGCCAATGATCGCTGCAAAACCTCGATAGGTCCAACCTCGCCGTTAGAACTGAACGAGTGGACAGTCACGTTGGCATCCGTTATCTCACTGCAGACTCATGCGCACAACAAAGAATTTCTAGGACAGGCAGATGATGCGATGTAGGTTGTAGGTAAAAGCAAGCAAGGGAAATAATGAACGGAGTTCAGGATGCGAGGGAAGAATTGCAGTCGCGGAATAGGCCTACCCGCACTGAAGGGAGCCACGTTGAGCTATGACATGGAACAAGTGAGCGTGCAAGCAGGGATCACCCGGCCTCGTTTGACTCATGGCTCGAATATAGATCTGCTATTTGGGAAGTCTGCGCGAGCTGACCGATGATCTAGCGATTCAACTTGGCCCAAAAATCATGCTGATTATGCGTTGCGTGAATGTATTTTTTGTGAAACAGATAGTGGAGAGAGAATCGGAAAAAATGTCCTTTCTTGAAATATAGATACCTTTCCTTTCCTTAATTTTGATGGTGGAGTTGTCATCTCTTCTGAGTCTGTTCTGAGGAGATATAAAACTATAGTACTTGAAAGCAATTTGTAGCAGTCTGTAAGGCAAATTCTGGGTCAATCCAATTGCGAGATGAAACGCTTGATTCTGATCTACTAATTAATAGCACACTTTCACTGTTAATATTAATCGTCTAATTAAGATCTGCTGGAACTCTAAACTGGTTTTTAGTTCAGTGGGTCATATGCCGCTGCACATCGTCGATAAATCGTGTCTAATTATTGCTGCAGTTCGATTAGTTTCTAATGTTGTTCAAAATATGCAAAAGAAGACCAAATGGAAAATACTCGTTCGAATAATTAGAGAAAAATGGAGTAAGGAGCAAAATAACGTGGTACAATACATCGACTGTAGTATTTTTTTCAACACAATCAAGTTTGATATTTTTCTAACGTGAAACGAATTTTCATATTACGTTGATGAAAAATTCAGTCGTTTGATCCGTGATCCGCCATCGATGCCTCCGTTTCATCATTCGCGGAGAAATACGCAACTTTAAGTTCTCCCTTCATCAGAGGCTTCCAGAAGTTCGACGGATCATCAATAATTTCACTGGCACGGAAAGTAAACCATTGAAACGCAGAATCAGACGGTTACCTGGAAGATAGCGAAAAGCGATGGACGATGGCAGAAACTGAACACCACATGTTCCGTTCCACATGTGCTATCGGTAAAAGAAGGTCCGACAAACTTTTGCAAGCACTCACAAGGCGAGGAAACGAAATGGATAAAGGATGAACGAACTTCAGCTTCTCAAGAGCCTCAGAAACTTGTAACGCGCTTATTGTAATGCACATAATACACTTGCTTGCGTGCTTGCGATCGTTCAATAGTTCACCAGAGACAAAGCCTGTCTCTGTTCGCGAAGAGGGAAAGTATTCGCCAAAAGGATAACCACGCATCGTCATAACAATGCACCATCAATGCTCCTCCTTTCATATTTTTAGACGTTTAGCCATTTTGCGTTATTCTCCAGCCTGTTTTATTGCGACATATCAAGCCATACACTCGTCAAATCAGCAGCAATGATGTATCGTGGTTAGGTTGGACATTCGAAACCTGGCCGAGCGTAATACGTGGTAAACCGGTTCAAACTGTGAAATCAACAGCGCAGCGATTGCAACGAATTGATAGCCGACGCGAGATTGCCGGATTTGCCAACCCAAATGAGTAACGACGGCACACAACGTAACGGCCGTGTGTAATTTGTTCATACGTAACGTCGCGGCACAATAGCGTGATACCACGATACGACGATTCGCGGAACAAACGACCAAACGATTGTACGTGTCTTACCGCGACACGTGCGACGCTGGATATCAAGTTAGACACGTTGCAGAGCGGCGAGCCTTGTTGGAGGAGGTCAAGCCTCATCGAGCCTCATCGAAGGATTCGATGAGGAATCGGGATGTAAACAAGGTCCACCGGGTGGTTTAGCCATCCGATGCGATTCCACGACCAGCTCGATTCCCGATAAAATTGTGGCACTAACGATGACTATCGTCATGCCATCATCAACATCCGCCGTAGGACATATAAAGCCACACGCGCTTGCACACCCGCACGCAGAGTAGCCGTTCGTGCCGTCGGAAAATGCGATCACTGTGCGATATACCGCTGCTGCTGCTGCTGCTGCTGCTCTTCACCTGCCAGCTCGTCACGCCAACACCGATCTTCGATAGAGGTATTTTTGTTACGATTATCTTAAACTGGACTGCACAGTCGCTCGGGTGTGCGCGCGCGCGTGTGTGTGTGTGTGTGTGTGTGTGCGAGTGCTTCGCAGCGGAAAGAGAAAAGAATATCGATGGGTTCAGCACGAGCCTCGCATTCTTTGGACACACAATGGGCATTAACGACGTCTCTGATTTTCCTGAGAATAGAGAGGGTCAAAGTTCATCAGCGATAAAGCCTATGTTCTTCAAAGCACAGTGTTCTTGACACTTTGAAAAGTGTCGAGATAACGTATCCTAAGGTTTTTTGGCTCGTTAATTACGAATCTAACCATCTACGATTTTAGACCATGTTATACGTGACGTTTCTATAAGAAACAGAGAACTTGTGAAGTCGAACGGCAAGCTTCAACGCCGTGCGTCCAGAAGAAGGGTCTCCAGAAGAGAGTGGTGGAAATCGAATGTTGAAGTTGAGGCAGCTGGGTGTGGGTTCCAGCTTCTCCCAAGATCGTAATCCCGTACGTGATTGCCAGCAACTGTCGGTTTGGTACATGTCGTTATTTCATGAAGCGATTATACGCTCAACACAATGACACATACCGAACAGACAATCGTCGCTAAGCATCGATGAACGGAATACAGCCTGAGCCCACCAGCTGGCAGTACAGCTTCTGAGAGAAATTTTCAAAATATACTTTAGATTGTACTTTGGACGTAGTCTCGCTAAGTTTGGAAGAGCTCTCGGTGAGAAACATTAGAAACCCACATCTACGCTGAGTCCTTCAATCGTAATTACACGTCAATCCTAATTGGATAGGACTCTGACGTTCGTTTGGTGCGTGTGTTCGCGTTTCCTTTTCTCTACGAGAGTGTCGCGTTGCAATTGAGATATTGAACATTCGTCAAAGGAATCGAAGGGATGCTAATATTGCGTAACAACGCAATGCTTTATCGAACTCGATGAGTCGACGTGGTTCCATTAAAATCAGCTTGATACCTTCCGACGAGGGTCAACACGCACGCGTGAGATTTGCTGGTATCGTTCGGCGTCAATGGGATTCGTAATTAATGCACACAATAGTCCGACCAGCATCCGGTCGGGTTACGTTCGATCAAAATCGAGCAAAGATCAGACGAAATAGGTGTATGCAACATCGTCAAATTGCGGATAGCTGTTTTATTAGTTGGCCAGTGCGTTACTGTACGTTGTCAACGCTCAACGTTCCATTCTCATGATAATCCCAACGCTCGTTCGTCCTAGATGGTGCGGGTTCCCACAGTAGATATCGATCGGCTGGCTTCGGAGAGACGGTACGAGATTGGTTCAGAATGCTGAAGGACCGAATCGTGGGGAAATGGCACGAGTGGTTCGGCGACGAAACGTCAAGTCCGAGTTTTTCGCCGCAGGACATTCTGAACATTGACAAGACTTTGGAGAAACGGGTGCAGGGTTACCCAGGGCTCGTCTTGGATTTGTGTAAGTGCTACGCGCTTGATTACGCGAAGCGGAGAATTTTTCTCGCTAGTCCTGAATCGGTATTCCCCCTTTAAACTCTCATCAAGCCGCGGCTTGGAGCTCGCTGTGGACGTTAAATCATGTGTTTATGCTTCGCTACGGGACGTAATTGAAAGCATCGCGACTTTGATGATTTATATGATGCGTCATTCGCAAATCTTACGCGAGGGATGCAATTAGCGCAACAGTAGCAATCTTCCGGGAGTCTTCGAGAATCGCATTCTCTTGATATAATATTTCTTCTTTTTCCGTTTCCTTCAGATGCAGATCCACAGGTTTAACGTTCTTATGGCAATCTATTTTCTTTACTTTTATTCGCGATAGCTAACGTAACATTGGACCCAAAACGGGATTGGGGGGTCCACTTAGGTAACTGGTACATCATCCGGAAAGTTGCAGGGGATAAATTGGACTGTGACTCGGATGAGTGGGACTTCAAGTCTTGGTTGCCGTCATTACCATCATTCCCGAACTTCGATTGGCCTAATATACATGGATTCGAGGTGCCGAAAACTACGATTGCCACGCCGAGGACCGAATCAACCACAATACAACGGCAAACGACCCCAACTGTAACTCGGACCGAACCATCGATCGTCACCACTACCACCATTGGCACTACCGTGCCTATAGAGGAATCCATAGCGACTTCTGCCGAATCGACTCCACCTACCACTGCTACCCAGTTAACCACAGTAGCTTCCGCAGAGTCGACCGAAGAACTTTCATCTTCCGACGAATCCTCCGTAATAAACGACGAATCGACTGTCCTAACCACCGAATCGATCGCGACTACCGACGAGGGGGAGTCAGGTTTTCCAATGTTCTCCACCATTTTGACGCCTACTGAACCTACTGTGACCGCCAGCCAGGAATCCACCGTAATGCTTGTACTCGAAGAAGTAACTACTACCGAATCACCCACAGACCTAACTCTACCTGCGCTTAATAAACGAATAGAGGACAACGAGACCATCGAAAAACGTACGAAAACAAGGAAAAATCGTCCATCATCCGTCGAGGTCGTAATGTGAGCGCGTAATTTTGAGAAAGTAGATCGTAGAGTAGATACGAGAATGAATCAATGATAGACGCACGGCGCAGTTTGGTAGGAATAAAAATTTTGTCAGAAAGCAACAAACACTCGAGAAATGAATGATCAGGCGAAGAAGATACATGCGCGAGAATTGGATTATGCAAATTTATTTTACTCGTATGTAAAATGTGTGTTGTAAGGAAGTTGGTTGATAAATTAATATTTATCTTGTTAACATTTAACCCTGAGATATCGTATAGCCATATCTAAATGAAAATTTATATACAGAATAATATGCCTTTATGACGTAAACTTTATTATAATTACAGGCATTAAAAATGTTATAATTTACAATAAATCTTACGTCGACGATGGGGACCACACAATCCTCACAAAAGTTTGTTGTATTACTGAAATAAAAAAGAAATTGTTTGTCTAAGTAAAAATAATAATCCAAGCCTTACTAAAATCAACTGTATACACAGCACAGACATGCACGTAAACAATTCTTTTAAAATCAATCTACACAAATTGCATAGATATGAGACACACATTGTTTGTACCTTCCAACTAACACGTAAAGCATAATAGTATAGTAATAGTAGCGATAATTAAATACAAAATACACAATATTTATTAACATATAATATAATAATATAATACAATAAATGATGCTACTAATTTTTCTACACTTTTAATTTTATACTGATACAGAATACACGTTCACAGGACATACACAGGATGTATTTCGAAATAAAATAAAATTATTAATATTATAATTTGTCACCCCTATCTATTATTATTTAATAGAGCAAAGACTTCAAATTAAGATTTTTGAATTATCAACCTTTTTATAATCAAAATTTGTATAATTACAAATATTATAAATCTTATTTAGACAATGTTTCAAAATTTTCTGAAAAAATTTGAATGTTGTTTAAATCAAACTAAAGCACTGAATTTATTTAAACCGAAGTTTAATTTTAAGCCGTAAAATTGAAAAAACTATTGTAACATATTTACTAAATTTTCAAGTTTACGCTAATTTAATATTTAATATCAAACAATGTGTTAAACCCTGAAATAAATTAGTAAATAGGAAATGTGTATATAATAAATAAATAATAAATAATAAAGTCCTGTTTAAGGAATATCTTAGAACATCCTATATTCTATACAAACACAAAAATATATTTGCAGTCTTAGATATCAGCAGACTTGGTTAAGGACAAGTTTGTATTGTCTGTTGATACAACCCCTTGTGCAATGTGAAATATTAGAATCGTATGTGATTGATTAATAGTGGTAAATAATGTAACAAACAAAGCCCAAAAGTAAGGTGAAATAATATTCTGCTCTAAAACAACTTAAAAAAATGAAGAGCATGCTCATACTAAACTAACATAGAACAAAGTATATTGAAACTTAGAGATTTGCATGCTGACCATAAGCATCATAAATAAGATACTGCCCCTCCAGAAATCTGTAGTGCAAATGATGAGCATTTGTCTACTTCCTTCCCTAGAATATGAATAACAAGCGTATACCACCGTAACATGCATAGAGTTCAGTTGAAAAATTGTTCCTGAATTTTCATTAAACAATAATTATTAAATTATACCAAACAAAATGAGATACTCGTGTTTTGGATACATAATAAAAAAAAATAGATTTGCATTCATTTATTAAAATTATTTGAATGAAAACAATACCTACACCAAGTAGAGTATATATGTAAAATAAAGCTAATAATTTAAAAAAGCTAAAGCCCATTGTTTAGAGGTCATTATTTTAGCATGCATAAATTTTATATTGAGAAGCATTCAATGATGAAAGATAATTTTCCTTTATCCAGTTATAACATTAACATTCAGATAATAGAGAGAGAGAGAGAGAGAGAGAGAGAGAGAGAGAGAGAGAGAGAGAGAGAGAGAGAGAGAGAGAGAGAGAGAGAGACAGAGAGAAAGAGAGAAAAATTTGATCATACATCTATGTAATAAATATATTTTACTTTGGTTTACCTTCTTAGATGCCGCACCAACTTTACTTTTCTTGGTGCCCCTCACTTTCTTCATCCTATTCTTACGTTCTTTACGCTGTTTCCTTGTCTGTTTTTGTTTTTCAAAGAGACCATGCCTTGCTAACCTGTATTTAGGTTCAAACTTCTTGGCATAGTCCAAGGTATCATAGATGAGTGCAAATCCAGTAGATTTGCCACCACCAAAATTGGTCTGGAAACCAAACACAAAAACAACATCCGGTGTTACTTTATACATCTTGGCCAACTTTTCTCGGATTTCAGTTTTCCGGACTGATGGCTGACCTGGATGGATCACATCTACGACCTATGAAACAAGAAATTACATATACCTTAGTAGGTAATTATACAGTTTATTACATCTTTATATATTGTTGAACATTGTTGAAAAAGTTTCCTTAAAATCCACAACGCTTAACCGTATACAAAGATAAAAGACAGACTGTGTGTTTTAAAGGGATCTTTCCAACAATAAAGATGTAATAAGTTGGGTTAGGATATATTTTCTTGCAGAAAGGATATGGATTCCCCCTCTCCCCCACTTATATGTATTGTTTAACATTTTTTTAATATACATTATGTCAAAAAAATAGGCCCTATCTGTAAAACTTCTTTTGTTAATAACTTTTTAATAAACAATGACCAAACCTCTTGAACCTAAAATCTCTTGAATGTTACTCAAGTAGTACACTAAAATAACAGATTCTAAAAAAATTATCAAGGCCTTAGTGTAAGGTAAAGGTAAAGGTTTTAGATTTGGTGAGGTTAGGTTAGGTTATGTTTAGCTGATTAATGTATATATTACACTCATTCTAATTCTAATAATCTCAGACTTGATACGATGAATTTCAGACTTGATAAGATGAATATTTGATAGATATTCGCATAATCGTTTCAAATTCGCGCTATTTTTGCATGCACATGTAACCACAGAATATGCATATATGGCTACAGAGCATGCGCATGTTCACATCGCTACATATCGCCGGTACACGTTTCTTAATTTAGTCGTCAACTTTAACAATTAATATTTCGCTTCACGGGACGAAGTGACGTTTTTTTCTTCCGGATTCTTTCGTTTCATGCAAGAACACGTCGATTGAGTACAAATTTGTCAATATGGGAGATGAGACTCCTAAACTGTACAATTACTCTTAGTACATCTATGTATCATAAAGGGCGGCAAGCAACTAAACAAAAGGATAATCAGTAGTTAAATATTACTTACCATTTGTTTTCGGCATAGAAGCCGATTGGTCATGAACTTCCTTGTTCTGATGGTAGCAGTTCCTTCAGTCTGTAAGCAAAAGTCAAAACATGAAACTAACAAGTTATTTATTGACAATAACCTCAATCAAACATGCTCATCAAACGTTGATTTGTAGGATAAGATTTTAGATCAGTACAAATTTGAATCTGTAATTTTCTTTTATCATTAACATGGGTAAAATACATTCAAAGAAATAATGTAGGCGCATAATTTTGTCAATAAGGTTATGTACTTCTTGAAGCATGCTATTTGTAACTTTCCATTCTTTCAAAATTGTATACGCATATGTACTTTGCTACATGCTATTAACAAATAATTAAACAATTACTGTACATTTCATTTGACGATTAACTCAGAATCTTTGGATATGAAATACATACCATTCTGATCGTTTATTCTTCGGATCGCCCGCAGATCAAAAAGGCGAAGACGGAAATGTATACCGCCATCGATGAGATATTAATAAAGATTGTTAATCTTACGGGATTTAGCGTACCAGAGAAATCTCGCAGAGGAATAGCGCCCTCTTCGGAATATCGTGGTCGAAACATGAAGTTGTAGCACGAAATAAGCATTGGTCGGTTGCACATAGAACGCGTAAACGTTCACTGCGCGGCGGAAGTTGGCTAGAGAATACTGCGGTAGCCATTCAGCATCTTGCTTGCCAGGAAATAGTATTTACAAAACATGCGGCATGTGGAGAGCCTCATAGGTAAAGAGGTGGCAAACTAATCACATAACCAGGTCTCTGCCGATTCGATGGAGGCACAAAGCCTTCTTGACCAATCGGTATATATAGCAAAACGACAGGTCGGTTTTACAGTGAGTTTTAAAAGCCTTGAGTGATAAAGTATCTCTTAATAAATAAAATGCTAACTCATCAAAATTATTCTTTTTTCTTAGAAACTATTAATATTATTACATATCCGGTGAAATAAGAATGTTTCAACAGCGTGACACGATCTAGTCGCGATATTGCGAGCTGATCAGCAAAATGAGATGAGACAATGTGTGGAGAATTAACTTTCCAAATGTCGCTTGTTTCTTTTTATTAACACGTATATTTCCGTATACGTCCGTCGGATTATAAATTCAAGTAGGATTGAGAAATACAAGATCAATCGCAAAGCTATTGTACAATTGCAAATTTCTTATCCCAACATCGAATCGGTAACGTAGTATTTTCTACTTAATTTTATAATTTTATTTTATTCAGTCTATATATTTATCTATTATCTATATATATATATATATTTATATGTAGTATATGTAGTAACAGTAATAGACATGAAATTACATTTCCTGAGTGCAATTATTCTTCTTATCGTTATATACATATATATATTAAGTAATAATAATAACACAAATTAACAACAATTAACGATATTAACCATTATAAATTACATAATGACTTACACAATTAATCGTTTGGTTATTTATTTGTTGAAAGTCACATCGACTTATGGAATTTTACTGTTTCATGTAATTTTCTTTCGTAGGATTTGTTATACTCTTTCGCTCCAAAGTTCCGTTTCGGTCCGTAGTTCTCCGCCAAATTCAGACGCGCGCACATATACACATTCAGGACATTGGTAATGAACGGCAACATCGTTGCGTAATCGAATAGAAATTTATAAAATACATATACTACGTTCTCCAACCAGCTCAAATACTTATGCAAGCGCGGCATCTTCAAGTCCAAAATATCACACAAGTAGAGCAGGTACACCTTGTAAGAAGTCATCGGTATATAGTAGCGCATACCTTTGAAGACACACATGGACATGTGCTCCCACTCAGGCGTCACTGTATGCAGGTTCGGCTTCAGCCAGTACTCGATGAAGTCTCTAGAGCGTCTTTGCACGTCTTGCAGGCTGCCTTGGCAAAAGTTGTGACGATCCTCGATACCCAACAAATAGCCGATCGCGCGCCACAGGTGGCAAAAGGCGTCCAGGTCGTGGTCGCTGACGTGGTGTATCCCGAACTTCTTTGGATAGAGCACTATCAGACCTACGTAGGCGAACTGCGTGCCCGACATTTCGCCTTGGTTGATACCTTTAGTTCGCATCATCGTGTACGGACACTGAAGGTCTTTCGTCTCCGAACATGAGTCTCTCAAGTCCTCTGTGAACGTCTTTAGCATCGGGCAGAAGGCGTACGGGATCTTAGAGTTCTCGTCGATCTGATTGTAATCATAACTGCAGAGCTTTCGTCTCATCGCCAGGTGCATTTTGCGCACCGCCTGTATATCTTGGTGAGCCCGCGTCTTTGGGTCCCATGGATCCTCCTCGTACCAGTGTTTCACGCGAATTGTGGTTGACATGTACCGCTGGCTGGCTTTATACGGTGTATTGGACTTCTGGCTGAGAATCAAAGTCTTCATCCCGTCGACGAAAGTAAACACTTCAAACAGAGATATCATATGGGCCAGGCAGATTCCGTTGAAATAACGCAGTGCGAACGCCTGGCCGCGACGGAATTTGGCCATGTCGAGCCAGTCTGGCTTTTCGCTCACAGATTGTTCATAGTCTTGACTCTTGAACACTGAAGGTAGGATAAATCTCAGTGACGCGGGTATATTCGGGAAATATTTGTCGACGTTGCTCGTAAGGTGGTCGAGTTGCTGATCGATCGGCCACAAGTCGAAATCCTCTGGCAATTCGCTCTTGCACTTTTGTTGGCACATCTTCACAAAGTTTATCACGTCATTTTGATCGTTCAAGTTTTTGCTGTTAAATAAAGCCATCGTCGGTTTGTCTGGGCCGGAAGATTGCTGAGGACTGAGAAAAGATGATTCCTCCAATCTTTCTGCGCTAGAGAGAGTGTCCATGTCCTTGTTTGATGGATTCTGTTGGAATTTTCATTAGACTTCTTTAGCTGGGAACTATCACCGCATATTATAATTTTCTTTATCGCGCCATAATAAAATGACATATTTCATATATACATGTATGTTGCACTAACGTATGCCTAATTAAATTTCAATTAAAATTTCACAGGTAAGAAATGTTTGAGTTAATTCCCAACAAAACTAGACGAGATATGTGTGGTCACGTATACACTAGAAATTCGATAAATTTCGTTTAAAATTAGTTGAAGAAGAGAGTATATTCTTGAATTATAACATGTGTGTTATATTTATGTAATTTATATTATTTAATTTATGTTATATTTATGTATAACTATGATGTCGTTTGAGTGGGAAATTATAACTATAACATATATGTTGCGTGTAACATACACGTTATATCATATATTAAGTATATTATATACGGCAATACATCACTGTAATATATCTTGCCGGGAATATTTCACTAAACTTTTGTTAAAATTTGAGTGAGTAAAATCGAGTGAACATTTTCGAGAAAAATTAAAAAATCTAAACAATTTTTCCGTTTCTTCAGTACTTTCCATATGTTTGCGACATCCTTAGTAAAGAATCTTTAGTAAGGTTTGAAGTATTATAAATAATTTGTTTAGTGCAGTACTTACATAGAGATGTAAGGTATTTAAAATTGTACCGACGACTGCGAGTTACCCTCGTAGATCTCTGCCTTTTAATATTGCCAGCATCTTCTTAAAAAATATAACAAGACACTTTTTTATACAAAACAAGTATGTAGATTATTCATTCATCTTAGACATGCATGTAACGGCGATACGCAGCGTGATGTAATGGCGATGCTATATATGACTGAATTATATATAACTTGGGGAAGGTCGAGAAGGCGAGTATATTTTCCGGAAAGACTACAAGTAAGATTGCGATATTAAAAATATAAAAATATAAAAAATATAAAAAATATAAAAAAATATAAAAAATATAAAAAAATATAAAAAATAAAATATAAAAAAATATAAAAAATATTAAACACATTGTTTTATATGCGGCTAGTTACGATCGACTTTACGTAACGTGACGTGAAACATCGGAAGTTAATGCAACGTAAAGCTTGCCAATGTCAAGTTTAAATGTCGTGTTCCGTCAAGTCGGACTGTTCATGTGACACTTTCAAAAACGGAGTTCTTTCACCAGGTTATGCCAAACTGAATTCTTCTTCGAAAAATATCTCTCACACTAATATAACCTGAAACATCAAATTCATATAACGTCATTTCACGTCCCGTCGCGTCCCGTTACGTAAAGTTCATCGTAATCCCGCCCTGATGTAGCGGGCGGTGATGCACAACGCAATAGATACTACATCACGCTATGCATCGCCGCTACATGCATATTGAGGAAGTTTTTTACTTCGATTAAATCCAATATTTCAATTAGATTTAATTTAATCCAATGATTATTAAATATTAAATATTAAATATTAAATTAGATATGTTATAAATGAATGCATAATATATGGAAAATGTTTATGATTTAGGAAACAATATATTGTGATTGGCCGCAATTTAGTTAAAACTAACATATCCTGAAATAAATACATAATTAATAAAGAAAAAAAAAACATATATATATATATATGAACATAATTATTTTATGTTTATATATATGTATTGAGTAATTTTACATTGCTCTTTAAACACAACATTTAATTGTCAATATTACTAACAAAATATACAAAAAAGTTATATATGAAATGAATTAATGATAAAATATTAGTATTTTAAAAATTTTATTTAACATAATATTTAACATAACTGTTAAAATAAAATAAAAGCTCTAGTAGCATAAGAATTTTTCATTCTCTCACCTTGTCTGTGCGACAATTTTTGCTAAATTTTTTGCGCATGCTCTTTATTAATATTTTATGCATTATGAAACACTCTTTATTAATATTTTATGCATTATGAAGCACATGCTTATTTATGCATACTTGATATTATATCATCAGCTTATTGTGGTTTTGCTTGCTTTATTAGCCACTAAACCCAAATTAAAAATAACATTATATTATAATGTTAAATTTTATTGCACATGCTCTTTATTAATATTTTATGCATTATGAAACGCATGCTTATTTATGCATACTTGATATTATATCATCAGCCTATTGTAGTCTCGTTCGCTTTACTAGCCACCAAACCCAAACTAAAAGTAACATTATATTATAATATTCTAATTTTTCACTCAAAAACGTGATATAACTGTATGTATGTAACAATTACGTTACGTTACGTTGTGTTGCTGATAGTTGATGTTTATTAGTATTTATTGGCGATTATATAATATATCTGATTATATAGATTATATAGATTATATAGTTAATGTTTATTGCGGAATATATGTATATATATATATATATATATATATATATATATAACTCTGGACTTGTGATTAACTTTATTATTTTATATGATTATTGTGGCCCTGTTATATCGTTACCGTAAGGCCCGAGCTACAGCAGTGAAGTAAAATTCGAAAGATAACTCTTGAACTACACAGATATATATAACATGTTATATCGCAAAAAGTTCCGATTATCAAACAATCATCACCTTATTATAGATCTTGTTTTCTTGACATTTTCTAGCCTTCAGATATTCTTCTCGCTTTTTCGCCTGCTCTATCAAAAAACAAGAAAATAAAAGGAATCATAATCAAATCGATCGCAAATTGCGCATCCATCGATACTCCATTTAGTTCAACGAGTTCGAGTTCGAGTTCGATTTGTTATAAGTGACGACTGAAGGTCGATTATGAATCTTTCACGAGCTCTCGTAACTCCGTCGCACGCTCACAAACACGAGAGAGCAAAGTTCAAGTCCGTCCGTTATCCGATCGCCCTTACGAGGTCGTCGCACATCGAGCGTGTCGCTCCGATCAAGCCTCATTCGAATTTTCGGGTTAGTCATCCGTGGACCGGGGTGGGTAACTGCCTGCTGCTGTATCCCCAATTTAGACGAAGCTGAACCACAGTCAGGCGAGAACGAGTTGTCCTGAGAGGATCGCCGCAGCAGGTAAATCATTCATTTTCTCTAATATAGAATAGAAATATAGAAATATTTCGAAGCATATGGGCCTCTTTCTTTCGAGCAAGAAAGCATGCTTTTCCGTCGCGGTCTCGAACAAACTTGCATATTTAAGTTGTGTAAGAAAGAAAATAAACGAGGGCCTCGAACGTTCGATTCGATCGTTCGGATTCTTCGTTCGAAATAAAAACAGTGGAATGGAGCGGAGCAAAAACTGAAGGGAACTCTAGCGCGAGTCGCAGGTGTTGTAAATGAAAAAATAACTTACTGCACTACCACAAAAATAGAAATCTGACTTGCTAGTAAAAAACTGCCAATATAAAGACGAGGTTGCGTTATATGAACTTATCTACCGAAACTGATTATTATCGCGCGTAATTACAAAGTTCATAATCTGATTTATGGAGCGCGCTCAGTCGAATCCTACATACGTTAAATAAAATAGCAGTAATCATTAAAAAAACGATTGCAATCGTAATGACATCTACTAGCGTTGAAAGGCGTCGAGAAGGCGCTTTATACATGGTATCAATTTGCCGCGCGTTTCGAAAACAATATTCGAATAATTATTATAAAATTTATTATTTAATATTATTATAAAATAGCACAACATATCGTTGCATTTGTGTAAGTTTCTCTCTCTCTCTCTCTCTCTCCGCATTTGCAAGTGTCACATCAGTGCAATCGCCACGTGGTCGTCTGCAACACAGCACGATAAATCGGCGCGTGTCTTTGTCCACGTGTCTATGTTCCTGTTAAAGTTCGCCGAATAAAAATTAAGATTGTTTCACCGAGACAATCATCATTGCCAAAACTGCGCAGAATCTCGCGATAACTCGTGTCTCACATGACGATTGTAAATACGATATGACGCCAATGCTAATTGCGCACTTAAGAGATTATTATTTATTTAAGTGCTATCTGAGTCACGTTAATTGCGGTATAATCGTCGAAAGAAAACCTCTGGGAATGTGCATCAGAGGTGATCAGAGGTTATCAGAGGACTTACTACATCACGCAATTTTGGTCGGATAATAACATACCGTGCATACCGAGAAGAACAGACATTGCATCAACGGTGACATTGCATTTAAATGTTACAATTTTCTATTTTAATAATGTGTTATACAACATGTTACAACGCTCATTGTAATACGTGGATCAACTATCTCTCGACACTTTCTTCGAATCTTGTTTATTATCATTTATTATCCTTGATCTCTTTGGCAAATCGTCTTGAAATACAAAAGGGAAAGAAAAAAAACTTTTCTATAACGGGAAGAAGCTGTGACGTATGTATCAACGTCTTGTCGACCTTTAATATTTATTTTTTTACTTTTATTTACTTGTTTAATTTGTTTATATATTATTGTTTATATATATTATTGTTTATATATTATTTACTGTATTTGAATATTTATTTATATTTATATCGTAGACACGACACACATGTGCATCATGCATTTTTCTTATCTTCTGCATACTTCATGACGAGTATTGATTACTACGCTCTTTTCGTGCGTCTCCTAATGCATTTTTGCGGGTGCTTATAGAGCATAAAGTTATCTCGCGCTCGTGCTACCAGATAGGTTTTCAAGTATAGACGCATTCTCCGAGCGATAACGCACACTTTCGCTCGCCCGTTGTCTGTTGTCATACAACGTTTTGACTTTACTCGCGTGTTCTTACAGCAATAGACTTCTCGACGAAACTAGCGACGAACAATATGGATATTTTGGGAAAAGGATGGTTCAGCGAAGTCAACGATCTGTGGCCCGGCGTCGCGCTGTCGTTGCAAGTGAAGAATGTTTTGCATCAGGAAAGGTCCAAGTTCCAGGAGATCCTCGTCGTGGAAACGTGAGTGTCCCTCCGATGATCGCGTTTTTGTTACTAAGCGCTCCTCGTTTGCTAGGTATTCTTTTTCGACATATTATTTATTAGATGCAAAATTATATAACGTAGCGTGCGATATGAAATAGAATAGAATATGTGGTCTGTATGAGGGGGGATGTACTTGCAGGAAATCACACGGACGTGCTCTTATGTTGGATGGTATTATCCAATGCACCGAGAAAGATGAATTTTCTTACCACGAGATGCTGTCGTTTTTGCCACTCTGCAGTCACACGAATCCTAGAAACGTGAGTGCAATAGTTTGTGTCGGTAAAATAATAATAACAACAACAACAATAATAATAATAATAATTGGAATATCTTTTGTGCGACTCGCGAAGAAATGTCGAGGATTAAACCCGGTCTACAACGTCTCTCTCTGCTTTCTGTTTTTCTTTATCATTTTTTTTATCATTTTCTTTATCATATTCTCGCTTGAGACATAAGGTTTAAGTCTAAAAAAGATAAAGAGGAAGAAACGGAAAGCAAAGAGCTGTTGTAGATAAAAAGCTTAAGAGCAAAGAGCTATTGTAGATAAAAAGCTTAAGAGTTAGCTGGTAAGAAAACTCAGGAGACTTGAATGCCAGGTGATTTGAAAAGCAGCAGACATTCTTTGAGTTCCAGTTGAAAACTAAAATAACGATGGGAAAATAGATATGAGAATGATATTGATAATTTTTTTACACACACACACACACACACACACACACATGATGTTCCTCGACTAAAATTATTCCTTTCAGTTAAAATTAACTTCTGAAACTAAGAGGCAATTTTTTATTTGAAATTCGTTTCATTATCATAAAAGTTCTAATTAATTAACCAATTATTATCGATGATTTATAAATTTTATCGCTTATAAGAAATTGACATGTCTTTCATTAATCTTTCGGAAGCCAATTATTTTTTGCGATATCATCCATTCTTAGTTCCTTAGATGATAAATGAAGCTCAACTGACATTCCGATCGAACTGACGCTGCTGTTTTTATCGGTCACACTCGATTACATCAGGTTATTGTTACTGTTAATCCAAAAGCGTTGATTACTTATCAGTTATTATTACTTCATCGAGCTCTCAAATAACAAATCACTCAAAATAAACGAGATACATAGGAACAGATGTCGCAACTTTTATCTTTCAGTCACAGAATCTCGTGCCTACTACGTTAGCATCGGTCGTGCAGGTGCTTTACAAAAATTTACTTAGTAAATAAATATCGTGAAAGACCGCGCTATTTATGCAGAAATTATTCGTAATTTATATCTCGCGATAGATCCTGATAGTCGGCGGTGGTGACGGTGGAATTGTTCGAGAGGTTTTAAAACATTCAGATGTGGAGCATGTGACGCTGGTGGAGATCGACGACCGAGTTATCGAAGTGTCCAAACAATATTTGCCGAGCTTGAGTGCGAGTTTGCAGGATCTCAAAGTGAACGTCGTTGTTGGCGACGGTTTCGAATTTTTGAGGCAACACGTCGCGGAATACGACGTTATCATCACTGACAGTTCCGATCCTGTAGGC